AGCCACCGCCTCGCCAGAGTGAAGAACTTCGGCTTGATCTTCTGTCAGAGGTGTGGTTTCGCAGCCACGGCAGACGGTCGGTGGCTTCAGAATGTGTGTGCCCCCCCCCACACACACAAAAAAAAGGGAGTGAGAATCTGAAGCGAATTAGAAAGGGTGTTTTTTCGTCTTATCGGGGCCCACCTGTGGCCTTGCGTGAGGCGGCGGCTCTGGATGCTGCTGCGAGAGCCCTCCCGCCACCCCCTCGCGAAGGAACTGGGGGCGAGGGTGGTGGCGCGAGGCCAATGGAGGAGAGGCCCCTAATTGATGAGTGTGTTGCCCGCTCGTCCGATCGCCCTGTCGGAGAGCAGGCCGATGTAATGACTCTCAGCGAGGACGCCCCACCCGTGGGCGAGGGCGCGGCTGCTGTTTTTGCTGCCGCCGCCGCTCGCTTGCATGAGGAGAGTGAGCTTGAGGAAGTTGCTGCCCAGCTCAGAGCCCAGGGTCAGGGGCAGACAGTGCTCGCTGGTGCTCGTGTGCGGGGGTTGGGCAGCAGTGGTGATGTTTGCAATGACGGCGGTTGAACTGGCCACGTGTGTGGCATCGCAGCATGATCCAGCATGATCCAGGCGGCTCCAAGACAGACAAACAAAGCCCCAAGACAGCCAAGCTCGCTCCACGACGACCCAGAACCCCCTATACAGTCCCAAGGCTGCCCGAGGAGGGAAGAGGCCTCTGGGACGGTGCAAGACGGCCTCAGGATGGCCCAGCATGGCCTCAAGACGGCCCAATATGTTTCCAAGGTGTCCCAAGAGGGCTCCAAGAGGGCGCCCACGAGGCCCTCGAGAGGCAGACATCACTGTTTTCTTCCTGCCTCTGTTGAAGGACTTTTGCACACTGGCCTTTACGGGGTTCTGAAAGCCGGCGACGGTCCAAAATGTTCCCAAGAAGGCTCCAAGGCAGCCCGAGAGGGTCCACGACAGCCCAGGAGGACTCCAAGACGGCCTGAGGTGGTTCTAAGACGGCCCAAGAGAACCCCATGACGTCTCAATAGGCACCCAAGACAGCCCAGGAGGCCCCAAAGAAGGCCCCAACATGGGCAAGATGGGGAAATCGAGCTAGCCTCGAATTTCCCTCCAACAGTGCCGTCAAGACTCCCCATATGCCCCTGGGAAGCCGAATGAGCCACCAAGGTGCCTCCGAGAGTCCCCGCACAAACCACCAAGGTCCCCCCTAACGACTCTAATATGCCCCCCGAGAGGCCCTCAATAAACGACAGGTGAGCCTCCAAGATGCACCGAAGAGAAACAATACGGCGGACGAGGAGGAGGCTCAACGAAGAACATAACAAAGAAAACGAAGCTGCAGAAACGGAATGGGTGTTCACGACCCGATCAGATTCAGCACCTTGTCTGAGTTTGAGCGGGCTTGACATACACCTCCTTCTTGCTAAGCTGTTGCACAGGCACGGTGGCGGGATTTGCCGCAGGTGGCAGGGTAATCCAACAGTTCGAAGGATGGAGGGCGAATGTTGTTCAGCATGCGGCTCTCGCAGTAATGCCGCGCACACTCGTCTAGAACACATCCAGCAGGTACACGGATGGAGTGCGGTTCATTTTCACGATGGGGCTCTCGCCTCAGACTTCCTTCCTCAACGTTGATCACACGACATATCCGCCCTTGTGCCCTTGTGGCACGAAGTGGAGTGTCGTCAGCTCCTTCACCTAATCCCTTAAGCTTCCGTCCTCTCTCCTGGAGATTCTTGTAGGGGCCCAGACCCAGAAGCTTCTGAGAGTTGTCGCGTCCACTTTTGCGGAACGGCGCTCCGCTAATTGGCCTCAAACCTAGGACTGTCGACTGCTTGGCCCCAATTAGCGGAGCGCCGCTCCGCGAATTGGCTCCGAATCAAAAGATTCGGATCGCCGGCGCTCCGCTGATGGGCTCCACACCTAGAAATTTGCCTCGCTTCGCTCCCATTAGCGGAGCGCGATCCGCTAGTAGGTTGAGACTCTCCAAGCCCCCAACCAGCTTACAATCACATATCCCAGCGAACATCCAAGAGGCCAAAGGCCCACAACCCAGGCATGGTGGCGGGATGAGCCGAAAACCATTAGATTTGCCGCCCCCTGTTGGCTTGCCACGTGGGTGCCCGGAATGCTAGTGTGTGTGTGTGTGTGTTTAGGACAGATTTTAGCATTTGTTATTTTCGGCCTTCCGACGGCCCGAGACGGCCCAAGAGCCCCCAAAGATCGCCGAAGAGCCTCCACGATGGCCCCAGAACGGCCCAATAGGCCCCCAAGACGGCCCCAAGAGGGTCCCAAGGCAGCCCTAGAGGCCTCCAGGACGCCCAAGATTGCCTCCAAGACGGCCCTGGAGCACCCCCAGGGGGCCCCAAGTCGGCCCAGAGGGGCCCCCAAGACTGCTTCCGACGGCGTCGGACGGGCCAGGAACGCCCTAAGACGGGCAAAGAGGCCCCCGAGAAGCCCCCAAAGGTCCCCCGAAAGGCCCAAGGTGGCCCCCAAGATACCTGCGAGGGGCTCCCAGGAAGCTCCCAGGAGGCCCAAGAGTGCCTCTAGAGGCTCCCAAGATGTCCCCTCCTCCTCCTCCTCCTCCTCCTCCTCCTCCTCTTCCTCCTCCTCCTCCTGATCTTCTCCGCCATCCTCTCCCACGTGTTCCCCGGATGGTTTCCACAACGGCTGGGGGAACACATGGTCCGATAGCTTGGCAGGGCTCTTGCCACACGCTCGGCCACATGGGCGATTCCAAAAGGCATGGGACGGCAGTGATTCGTCGCAGGCGTCTTTGATAAGCAGTGAAGAAGTTGCACTTGTGCAGGGCGGTTCCTTTTGAAACTGGAGCTCGCGCTGGATACCTCGTCTGATCTTATACCGCCAGGACCTACTTTGTGTGCAACAGTTGCACCGCTGCGGGGCGGCTCCTTCTCAACACCGGGCTGTCGCTGGGTGCTTCTCTGGACTTCGCGGCCCCACCTTGTCGCACTTTCTGTAGCTCGAGCGATGGAGGAGGAGGAGGAGGAGGGGGAGGAGGAGGAGGGGGAGGAGTAGAGTCTCTTTCAGAACCGAGCTCCGCCCTGAGCTGCGGGCCCACGGGGCCTGCGTCTTCCAAGGCTGGGCTGATGACTCGGGGCGGGAGAGTGCCTTGCAACACCGTCGATGCATGTGGGGTTTGCCGCCTTGCCCCTGTCCCCCCCTCCCCCCCCCATCCTCGTTTCAAGACGCGGCCAGCCATTCTACCTGGCACCCGCCGCCCGTCTCATCTGGCCCTGCCTAGTGAGAGTGCTGCTCTTTGACGTCTTCACTGTTGGTCTTCCCCCTTGCCCTCAGGAGGAGAACCAATAACCGCCACCGTGCCGCGAGGCATTGAGTGGAACGTCCTCAGGTCTTTCGGTCCCTCACTATTGCATATGGCAGTGCTCTTCAAAGGGGCCCCAATCCCAGCATCAGAGATTTTCTTGGGCTCCCCACATAACTGTTGGGGAGCCCTGCGTGACTTTTTGGGGCGGGCCGCATGACTTTTCCAAAGACCTGGGAGCGCCAAGACGGGCCAAGGGGTACCAAGTGGGACGCCAAGCCGCCCCAAGCGGGCCCCAAGAGTACCCCTAAGAGAACCCCCTAATGGGCCGACGTTACTGGTTCCAAAAATGGTCAAACATTTTGTCGCATTCTCGCGCTTTCGAGCTTCCAGGCCCCCAAGACGGTCCATAAGGGCCCCAAGAGAGCCCCAACAGGCTCCCAAGAGTGCCCCAAGACGGTTTCTCTCCCTCACTCTCTCCCTCCTCCTCCTGCTCCTCCTCCTCCTCCCCCTTCAGTTTCCCTCAAAGCGTTTCCACAATGGCTGGGGGAACATGTCGTCCAACATCATGGCCAGACTTTGGCCCAAGGTTTAGCCTGGTAGACTTTTTCCCCCCAAAGCGGGGGGCGGCCTCGATAATTAGAAGGGTGGAGAGGGAGGAATAGGACGAGAAGGAGCGCTACATGCTACCCTGCACGGCTCTCCCTCTCATGCCTCGTTCTCTCTCTCTCTCTCTCTCTCTCTCCCTCCTCTCTCCCTCTACAATTACACAATATGAATACTACTGCCCTCTCCCCCCTGATGACGTCCAGAAGATGTCCGGCCCCCCTCCGTGTACTGTTTTTTACACACAAGATTCCTGGGAATTGGGTTTTCGCTTGTTTTTTTCTAAAATGTTGCTCCCGCTGAAGCGCTGGCCCCATTTCCGCGCCTCCGGTTGTTCCAAATAGTGCTCCCGCTGCAGCGCGGGCGTGTGTCGGCCCTTCCAAATAGGCCCCAAAATATAAAAAATGCTCCCCGAACAAAGCCATTGGAAGTGATTACACATTCGGTGTCGATTCGTTGATTCTTGGGGCCGCAGAACCCCCCCACTTTGGGGCGTCGTCGTTTTCAGGAAGTATCAAGCGGGAGCCCCGTTTCTGCTTTGAGAAGGTGATGCTAAAAACAAAGCTAGCGGGTGCTCTCCATCAACCCCGCCTTGTGCGGAGCTTTTCGGGGAGCCCAAGGAGCTAGACATGGAGCCACCACTCCAGACCGGCCCAAACCTCTCGAAGACGATCCACTACCCTCCAAGGAACCCGGCACCATGCCATGACATGCTGTGCGGTGTTGTGTTCTGCGCCGCTGTGCGATGCCTTGCTTTGCGTTGCAATGCTTGGTGATGCAATGCTTCACTGCGCAATGCCACGCCATGCTATGGCATGCTACGCTCTGTCGTGCTCTTCTACGCCATGCCATGCCGTGCTCTACCATGCATCGCGTACCCTCTCGCGATCATTGCCCTGCTCGACATCCGACTGCGTGAATAGAGAGGATATCCACGACATGGTAAGGGATGTGAGGGAGGGATAGGACGTCATATATGACGCGAGCGCACCTAACTTGTGCTCTCCCCTTCCCTCCACTCCCTCCGCCTCTTCCCGTCCGAAACACTCGAACCCACCTCCTCGGTGCCCCCCCGCCAGCAAGTCCAGGGCGCCAGGTCGTGATCAGCACATCGTGGCACGACGTGCTGTCTGTTGTCGTCCTCCTCTCTTGCTTCTCCTTGCCCAGTCCATCAACTCAGGGCCTGGAGCGGGTCCTGCTGCCAGTGCGATGCGCAGAAATCGGAGGTCGAAGAGAAACTGCAGCAAGTGCGACATGCCCGTTCGCTGGAAGCCGTCTTTCACTACGGAGGAGGATGGGAGCTGAAAATCGGAGGACGATGAACATGAATGCAAGATGATGGTGTGGTCGAACAAAACGGTGATGGCTGTGACGGCGGTGGTGATGCCGGACTGTACCCTCTCTCGTGTCCAGGCTCTTCTCTGCTGCTGCTGTGCATGTATCGTGCGGCCATTGCGCCTCCTCTCGACTTCGTCTCGGTCCTTTCAGGACGGTTCTCTGTGCTCGAGGACGTGGGTAGGCGCTTCGGGCTCAACATCCATGGCTTGCAACTCCTGGCTGACATCGGCCACCGTCCCGGCATTCATGTTTGGCAACGCACTAAATATCTTCCGCGGCGGCTCATGACTATAAGCCGCACTGCAGAAGAGTGTGCCAGCAGACATTGCAGAGCCTCGCATCTAAGGAGTATGCTGATCAACCTGCACCGCACGCCGAACAGCGTCCAAGTCGTGGCGGACAGCTTCGACCGACAGTTCCACCTGGACCAGCTGATGCCCACATCTATCACGTATGAGACGACGCGCCAATACGGCGCGCCGAATTTTACCACGGTGCGGGTGAGGCTGTCTTCCCCTCCAGTGGAGATGGCAGTGCCGAACACGCGGAATAGCGCGAGCGCGCTCGCATGGAAAGTCGACCTCCAGACAAGAGGTCTGAAACTGACGCTTTAGTTTAGTCTACTGCGGTGCGGCACTTCGAAAGTGATATAAGCTCACTTCAAAACCGCCCTCATTTGTACGCCGAGCGCCGCAATGCTACCGATGGCGACGGGGCCCAACAGAGCCGAGGGTAAACCCCGGCTCATGAATTGCACGTCGAGTGCCCTCACGCGGGGCGGCGAAGATGCGTGGATTCCAGCCACGGCCCCAGTGACCGAGGCAATCAAGGACCTGCAGGTGGGGTACGAGGAAAGGTTCAGACGTACGGGACGGAGGTAACGAACACATCAGAAGGGAACTTGCCAACTTCATTCACATTGGAGACTTTTTTGTTCGGCGGCTCCAAGGAAAAGCCCAGGGAGCGGTCACAACGTCCGGGGCGCGGTACATTGTAAATTTGCGAATCCAGCCGTCACTGTCGACAGCCGACCGCACCTGCAAGCATGCTCGCAGTTGCTTCACATTGGAGACGCGCAGCGCCGATTTCGCAAGTTCGTGGTGCGATACTGCCGATTCCAACCATGGAACGCGATGGATCGCCAGCTTGATGGGACAGAGCGGCCCAGGTCGAACACGTCGTGTAGTAGGCAGCGCTCGGCACAACGGCTGCCATGACTGGTGTCGACTCAGAGGGGGAATACGATGGAACAAATGGTGCATAAAACCTTACTGTGGGGCGCTCTGGCATGAATACGCTTCCAAAAACCCGTGCGTCGCAGAAGCCCAGGAATGGATAACTCATGAGAAACGTGTGAAGTACTACGACCTTATAAAGGGCTTTTCAAGCAATTGCTATTTTCCCAGAACTCCTGCGATGAAAGTTGGGACAACATAGCTCTGGGAAGCGCGAACACACCACACAGAAACACTGAACGAACCTGAGTCGCTCAACAATCAAATAAGCGGACCCCCTCAGTCCGCTTTCACGCTCTCGCCCTGGCGCCAGCTGCAGGTCTTTGACACCGAAGCTCATGCTTACGCGTTTCGTGGTGGCGCCGAAACTACAGTCGGGGGCTTGACCTAAGGAACCCAAAATAAGGAACGAGGCCCCTTTTTTCCATAAGTTAACCTTCGATTTCCTGTCGACCACATAAGGAAAGCCTGAGGCAAGCTGCGAAACACTTAAGTAACGCGGAGCCCCTCCCCAACGAAAAGGGTTCCTTCTTCAGGGCCCCGACTGTAGCTCCCCATCAAACGCCGATACCGTAACCTCCTCGCCTCAAAACTGATGCTCTCGCTCGCCGCCGAAAGACCGGCCCTCCTTTACTGAAGGGGTCCTGAGACACACAAATAAATACACACAAATAAACATATTCCCAATATTTTCCCATATTTTCCGGGTTTCTGTCTCCCCCCCACTTCCCATATTTTCCCATATTTTCTGGGGAATCGAGGATTAATTGTGTCTGTGTGTTTTTTCCTCTCCTGATTTACCACAGACCACTCACGCTCGATGCTTCCTCGCTTCTTGCTCAGGTGCTCAGGACTCGTGCGCCCTCGCCTCGGCGCCCAGGCAGCCTCCCTCCACAGCAGCTCGGCTCGGTTCTCCCTCGCTGGACGACCGCGTTCTGCTACTCGCAGAGTAACTACTCGCCAATGGCCTGGATCCCCCGCGGAGGATCTACGATAAATTACATCAAAGCGGGCATGTGTTTTTCGGACGTTTGCGAGTAGGCACTTTGCGAGTGGTGGAAAGCGCTCGGTGACTCGCCTGTGATTCAGCAGTGGCGCTCTTGCCTCGCCGCCGGGAGGTGGCCCTCCAAGAGAGCGCCCGCTCCCGCTCGATATATACTTCCTCGCTTGCGGCCCTAGGCAGGCGCCCTCGCGCGCCGCCGTCTCACGAACCCAGCAATCACGCTCGATAGCTCTTCGCCTCTTTCCCCACGAGCGGAGCCCTCGCTTCGGTGCCCAAACAGCCACCCTCCACAACAGCAGGCGCTCCCGCTCGAGAACTCATCGCCTTTGTGCTCAGCAGTGGCGCTCGTGTCCCAAAACCGAGCGCTAGGCCTCCAACAGACACGGCGCTCGCGCTCAATACTTCCGCGCACTTTGTTCAGCAATGGCGCTCTCGCGCGCCGCCGAACATCGGCCTTCCAAGAGACTTGGGCAAGGTCCGCCCGCCCGTCCCGCCCGTCAAGGTTCGCCTGACCGACTCGCCCGGTGAGGTCCGCCCGCCGGACCAGCCCGTTGGGGTCCGCTCGACCCGCCTGTCAGGGTCAAGCCGCCAGACCCCGACCCGTCTGCTTGACTGTAACGCCCGCCCGAAACCCGCCCGGTCGTTTGCCTGGAAGCCAATCCGCTTAATGTCCCATGTCGGGACAAGAAGGGGCCGCCCCCCAACGGGATACGTTCATAGACGAAGAGGGCGGGAGGCGATGGTTTTGGGTATACCTATATATGATAAATGGCACGCGCGCAAGTAATATCGAACAACATTTGAACGCGGTTCTTGATCATTGGGTACTAACTAGTTGCTCGTGTTGAACATACCCGAAGCGCCCTGGCGCTCTCGCTTCGACGCCAGTTGCATGTGTTCCATCGCGAAGCTTTCAGTGAAGCGTGTCGGGCTGGCGCCGAAACAAGCCCCCTAACAACAATGGCGACGACAACAACGACAACGCTCCCGCGCGACATCTTTTACTCAGGACTGGTGATCTTGCTCGTCGCCGACAACTGGCCTTAGAATAAAAACGACGCTCCCGCCTAATACATCCCCAAGGCTTGTTCAGCAATGGTGCTCTTACTCGCCCCCAGGAACTGGACCGCTTACAGAAAACGACCCTCCCGCGAGATACCACCATGCTTTTCACTCAAGATTGGTACTCTTGCTCACCGACTGAAACTGGCCCTCCAACAAGTGTGCGTTCCCGCTCGACTTCCTCGCTTGTTACTCAAGAAATGCACTTTCGCCTCGTCGCCACAAACGGGCCCATCTACAATAACAGCGCTCCCGTTCGATACTTCCTCCATTTCTACTCAAGACTGCCGCTCTTGCTTGCCTCCAGCAACCGGCCCTCTCACAGAACCAGCGCTCCCCTTCGACACCTCGTCGGTTTTCGCCCATGGGTTGCGCCCTGGCTCTGCAAACGGGCCCTCCAACGAAGACACCGCTCTCGCTCGATACCTCTCAACTTTTTGCTCAGGATTATGTTGTTCCCATCGTACTTAAGGACCACATCCCAAAAATAATTTCGAGCACCCGGAAAAGTGTCGAAAGAGTGTCGATACAGTGTCGGACGTGTGTCTCCCAGGGCCCGAAACGTGAAAACCGTCGAATTTCGGTGGTTTTTTCTGGTGCTCGAAATTCTTTCTGGTGGTCCAGGCTAAAGTAGGTTGGAACATCATAAGCTCAGGAGTGTTGCCCTCGTCTCGGCATGCCCCCCTGGAGGGCTTCCAGTCGGTCCCAGGCGGGCCCGAAGAGGTTTCAGCAGAGGTCCCAGGCGGGCCCCGAAGCGGTGCGGACAAACTCCCAAGAGCGCCCTAATATGTTCATCAGGACAGGGGACAGAAAGGGAGAGGAGGAGAATGAGGAGGACGAGGAGGAGGATAATTAGAAGGAGGACATTTGGAAGGAGGATGAGGACGTATAGACAAATGTCCGCAGCTCGAAGCTCGAAAGAGGAGCAGGTACTTCGGACGGCCCAAGGGAATTCCAAGACAGGCCGAGACGGCGCCAAGACTGCCCTAGGAGCCCCCGAAGAACCCTCAGACCAGGAAGGCGCCAGAAGCTCCCAAGAGGCCCCCTGAAGGTCTCCAGAGGACTCCTTCGAAGCATCTCCACACCTTCCACTTCTGCTCGTGCTTCTTGTCTCTATTTTCTTCTTGTCAAGTGGATGGATGAACATTTTCCTGCACGATCCCCCCAAAGAACGCTTCGAACGGCGGGAGCTCTGTTCATTGTGGTATTCAGCCTCACCGCTCCCCTGATCTGCACTGAATATGGTGATACGTCGTGCGAGCTGAAAGTCGTGCAGCGTTTCGAGAGAGACGATGGCTCGACCTCCTTGGGTTGGAAATCTAGGTGAGGGAACATAGGGCTCTCGATGCATGAACTGCCTGTCCTACGAATATGGAAGCTATCACGATTGATACGTGTTGCATGCGTGGCGCCCCCTGGCCAAAAGCCATGTCTTGCGATTCTTGGCTTGCTGTGCGTAGGCGCGGATGACAGGAGAAGGCAATGGGTATGATGAGGAGGGCGATGATGCTGACGCTGCTGCCGTTGATGATGATGCTGATGATGATGATGATGATGATGCTGATGTTCTTGATGATGATGATGATGATGATGATGATGATGATGACGATTCCCATGATGGTGTGATGATGATGTTGCTGATGCTGATGCTGATGCTGCTGATGTTGAGGATGCTGCTGGTGATGCTTACCATTATGGTGAACATGATATTGATAATGACAATGATCATGACAATGATGAGCCGGAGGAAACGATGGTAAAAGAAAGCGTGGTGCCCACCAGACCTCCGCTTCGACAGTACGAGCTTCCCAAGGGGCCACTCAGAAGGGCTTGGCGTCAGTGCGTCTCCAGGGAGTCCCCCGAAACTCACGGATTTCACCAACATGCCATTATGGAGGACAGCGTCTTCATAGGACGTGTCAGCTCATGACGTCTTTCCTCGCACGACCATCCTGGTTCGATGTAGGCCCAATCAGCGAGCGAGCGTGCCATTCGCATCACGAGCCAAATGAACAGAGATCGCGAAGCAGATCCACAACCCGCATTGAGAGGGGTGAGGGCCGATGCTGCACTATGCAGACCTGCACGCTTGCCGAAGCAGCGGCCCAGAAGCACGTCGCAGCACATCACACATTGGGACGTCAACTGCACGCGACGGCTGGCCATCGTCAAACACACAAGAGAGATGAAGAGGACCATCAATGACGGAAACCAAGAGAGGAGGCACACACACACAACGCTGTAATACGTCCGCCTTCGCGTCGTGCTTGCGCCCTTGTTCCTCCCCTTTCGCCCATGACTTATTGAGCGAAACATGGGAGTGAGCTGTAACAGCGCGCATGAGCAGGTGTCCAAGCATATGCGCGACGATCTTTCAGTATATCTCTGCGCGCACGCTCCCCGTCCTCCCACATCCTCGTGCACGCACCTGCAAGCTTGTCATTGCGTCAACGCCATTCCTGTGATTGCCCTCACGACTTCCACAGACCGTCCCACGAGTGCATCAACCTCCTGCCCTTCGAGCAGTCCGAGGCACGGGGCGCGTCGGTCGGCGGGCGCGCGGGCAGATGGGGCGCACGCCTTGATCGCCTCGAGGTCCAAGGGCTCCGCGTCGTACGCGCTCATGAACAGCTCGCTGAGCGCCATCTTCACTGCCGTGACGAGCGCGTGGGGCATGGACCCAGTACTTGAGCTGACCTGTGGACGCGGGGGCCAGACGGCCAGAAAACAGGGAAAAGGAGGGAGTAAAGAGTAATGGGGGACACATGAATAAACTAAATAGAAGGAAGAATGGGAGGAAGAAGAAACGGGTGAGAAAGGCCTGATTAGTATGAGCACGGCTTTTCTGGTGAGGCATATTCTGCTCGTGCCAAGACCGCAAAAGTAATAGGCAACGCTCCCAAAGCCACAGCAACCATACCCATGTGCCCGCGCCCAGCTTCATGGTACGATTTCCGCAGGCTCCTGAGCCAAACGGAGCCTTGAACCAAACTTGCTTGAACCAAGATGGCTGCGTGGGAGCCCTTTGAACGTCTTGGGTCTTCGAGGCCGTCTTTGGGATTTCTTGGGGCGGCCTGGGCCAAGCCTTGGGGCAATCTCGGCGACTGCCTGGGCCGTGTGAGGGCCTCCGTTGGATACCCACTCAGGGGTCTCCTGGACAAGTGTGCTTCCTTCGGGAATGCCCGACGGCCGACGGGAGGCTGATTGGGCACCAGACTGAGTCCTCACAAGTGGCACCACACGCATGCAGACAAAACAACGCGCCGCTTGCCTGCATTTCTGGCGTGCCATCAACTTCCCTCTCTCCCGCTCTCCTGCTCTTCCTCTCTCGAAGAGGATTTCAATAGGATTCCTTTTTGGGAGGATTTCAATAATATTCCTTTTGGTCATGGTTTCAATCGGAATCCGTTTTTGTTTTCAGTAGAAGTCCGTTTGAGAATCTCGGAAGAAAAACAGCTCGATGATGTTGGTGTGGTTCTTGCTCTGGGTGTCGTTCTCCCCCTTGTTTTCGGTCTCTATCTCGCTCCTCGGCGTGATGTTCTCGTTCTTCGCGCTCACGGCCATGTCGGTCTCGATGTCCATCTCTTCGAGTGCGCCTTCTTGCTCCACTGCGGCTCTTTGGCTCTTCTTCTCTGCGCCTATGGCGAGGAAGACGAATGAAGTCCTCTCGAGTTGTCACTGGTGCTCGTCCCACTTGCATGTGTCTTCATGTCGTCTCTGTGGGGCTCTTGTTGTGGTGCCTGCTGTCAACTGTTGCAACCGGTACGTATCCAATTCAGCGTGGCTGGGGCTGAAGAAACAGCACGCGACGGACCTGGCACCACCACCGCTTTGAGACATTGTAGGGGCGTCGCCAAGAGGCAACACACGGGACGGATATGGATGGCAGCTGAGGCCGAGGCGCTCGAGCTGGTCTTGGGATATGTAGCGCCTGCGGTCGTGCAGGACTTTCGGTTGCAGAGCTGGAAGGTCGGAGGACCGGATGGCAGCCTACCCCGCTGAGGCCGTGAAATGAGCACCGTCGTGGCTGGGAACCCAAATTGCTACTGGAGGAGGAAGAGGAGGAGAAGGAGGAGGAGCAGGAGGAGGAGGAAGAGGAGGAAAAGGAGGAAGGAGGAGGAGGAGGAGGAGGAGGAGGAGGAGGAGGAGGAGGAGGAGGAGGAGGAGGAGGAGGAGGGGGAGGAGGGGGAGCACGATGACGGAGAGCCAACGAAGGCTGCACGTGGCGATTGCTCGAGTAGCGGCGAAAGGGCCGTCGTGTGTGGTACGCCTCGGACGTGCGTTGCCCCACGAGGGCGAGACCATGCTGCACGGGGCCCGCACGGGCGCTCCACGGGCCGCGATTTCATCATGAGTACATCTTCGCTCAAGGCAAGGCGTTCGGGCATGTTCGAAAACGGCGCGTTTCGCCGCCCGAACACGGCCGTGGCCACGTGGTGTGGAGCCAAGCAGACGCTGCATATGCTGAAGATGCGCACGCAAGGGCAAGAGAGGACAAGTGCGGACCAATCGTGCCCCTTTCTCTCGGCACGGATGGCCAATCCTGGTGCCGCTCTCGCCGTTCCCATGTCGGCTGCACGCAAGTATGACTTCAGGCTCGAATGGCGCGGCTTGGGGGGGGCGCGGGCAGACCAAAGCGGCCAAGCCACCGCCATCGCTCCGCATTCAGCGATCGGGGGTCCCGAAATGGGCCCGCACCAAACCCGTTCTGGAACGCCCTATGTGAGATGGTTTTGCGCCGTAGTATCCGCTACATGCAAGAGTGACCCTGTGCGAGAGTGATCCTGATGGGGCATGCTGCACGCGAAACCCGCGCCCCCCTGAAACCCGGGCGCCACAGGCCACTCCTGCGAATGGCCACTCTCACGTGTAGCCGATGGCGCCGCTCCCGCCACTCCCACAGCTGTGTGACGGAGGGGAGGATCAGGGTGCCAACGCCGCCCGAGACCCGCATGATGAAGACGACAGAACATTTCGCCTCTGAGGCGAAGAGAATCTCAACGTCGATGGCAATGGCTATGTGTCTAGAAGACCGAAGACGGCACAATAGCAAGCTCTGACCGGCACGCGCGGAGCGCCAATAAATTATGCTCATGGCGCTTTCTCTTCCTCGACTGTCAACACCTGGGTCGCTAGATCGGCGGATGACGAGAATGGGGAGAATGAAGAGGGTACGTACACGCGGGTTGTTTGTAGGACAAACAACATTCACTAGGAAGGCGGGTCCAGTAGACTGGGTTCAGGCCCTCCCAGAGCATAGCGAAGCACAGCAGAAGCAGATCGACTCTTGAGGTGGGAAGTCGCTTTCAGCAGATTGAGATTTGGGAATCCAGAGATGCCTGCTCTCGACGACCGGCGGGTACACACTTTCGTGCGCACGCGGCCGGGGGGCGGAGAAGCCGCTCGCACGGCATGAGCCGGCACGTCCCAGCGAGCCAACGCCAGGCACGCGGCGAGCGAAACAACCAGAGGCGGTATTCTGGTTGACCCCAGAGTGGCTCCCATCGCTCGGACGTCCATTTCCCGTGCATTTTTCGGTTTCGTGCGCGTTTTTTTTTGTTGCTCGATGGTCCAGGATCGTCCTCAATGGTTCTCGCCGAGAAAAAATGCACACGTCCGAGCGATGCCAGGAGAGGGGGTCCCACTGAGAAGGGGGCCACATGCGAACCCTACCCCATACCCCCCACGATTTCTGAGGGGGAGGGTTCGCATGTGGCCCCCTAACTGAGAAGGGGGTGGTGCAATAAATTTTGGGCAATCGTATTGCAGATATACTGCGCCTGAGAACTGCACCGGTTGTTTTGCATCTACTGTGGCGCGCTCGAAAATCCAGCAATACATTTGCGCACCGGCATGCATTGCATATTGCACCAAATCTATTGCGTCACCCCCTTTTGGCTGGACCCCCTTGTCGGTCGCCAAAGGGTATGAAGGCAGGCCGGAAACCGGCCGGCCTCATAGGGCGCGAATTCGGCCGACCAGGATCCAGCAACACAACGGGCAATGAGGGCCGAGCAGGCCAGGAGCGACGGCCGACAGACGAGGGAGGACAGAGGGGCACACAGCAGACCGAACAAGAGGAAGGGCAGAGTGGGCACACACGCTCTTGGTCGTTGCAGGCAAGGGCTGGCCACACGTCGCTCGGAAGTCAAGCGGGCGCGCACGCGCCGGCAAACGAGTACGAAAGGAGGGGCTCGAGAAGGCACGCGCACAAGAGGAGGAGGAGGAGGAGGAGGAGGAGGAGGAGGAGGAGGAGGAGGAGGAGGAGGAGGAGGAGGAGGAGGAGTAGGAGCAGGAGGAGGAGGTGGAGGCTGAGGAGGAGGATCAGTGCAAACCCAAGAGTCATCAACGATGTTGGAATTACCCCTCCATCCAAGCTCCCTCTTCATATGCCCCGACAGCGGTTCATTTCCATGGAGGGAACGGCCTCGTTGGAAGACAACCGTTTGAAGATCTTGAGGCATGCCAAAACATTGTTCTCGGGATTTTCACGCCACGGATCAACCTGATTGCTGCGTCCTGACGATCTGGAACCGTGCCGAAACGCAGAATTTTCAAAAACGAGTGTGCGCGGCGCTCAGGCGAGAGCCACATTTTGAAAAGGAGCCGTCCTCAATCCGTGAAGCTCTTGAAATTTTTGAAGCGAATGTGCGCGGCGCTAAGGCGATAACCGCATTTTGAGAAGGAACCGCCCTCAATCAGTGAAGCGCTTGCAAATTTTCGAAACGAATGCGCGCGGCGCTAAGGCGAGAACCACATTTTGAAAACAACCCGCCCTCATTCACTGAAACTCTTGCAATTTTGAAAATGAATGTGCGCGGCGCTAGGGCGAGCCGTATTTTGAAACCGACCCGCCCTCATTCCGCGAAGCTCTTGCTAATGTTTGAAAAGAATGTGCGCGGCGCTAAGGCGAGAACCACATTTTGACAACGACCCACCCTCAATCCGTGAAGCTCTTACAAGGTATCGAAACGAATGTGCGCGGCGCTACGGCGGGAGCCACATTTTGAAAACCACCCGCCCTCAGTGCGTGAAACGCTTGCAAGCTTTCTAAACGAATGCGATCGGCGCTCAGGCGAGAGCCACATTTGGAAAACGAGCCGCCCTCCATCTGTGAAGCTGTTGCCACGTTGTACAACTCAGAATCAGAAAGAATGAGGACATCTCGAGCGAAACGCCCGGCCCGCCCTAAAAACTGGCCTCGGGGTGCGACAAGGGGGAAATTACTTATACGGAAAAGGATCGGAGGAGACCCCAACCACCAAAGAAGCTCCTTCGATGAACACGCTCTACTGGAAGAGGCCCCGCAGGATGACTGACCTCCTGCTGAGGGCCCTTGCCCGAGCCTGGAACAGAGATTCAGCATGAGACCTGTCGAATCTGTCCTGAATTCTTTGACTATTGAACGTGCTGGGGAGCAAATCAAGTGAGACAGGAGGAGGAGGTGGAGGCGGAGGATGAGGAGGGCACCGCCCCCCGACTGCCGGGCCCCGGCCGCGTCGGCCTCCGCGGCCTGCCGCGCCCCGAGCGCGACGCGCTCCATCACGAACGGCGACGCCTGCACCGGGATCGGGACGGCCTCGGGGGGCTGCGGGCTGCGGCGGCGAGGGGCGCCGTGCCTCCCCCAGCTTAACGGGCGAAGAACGGTATAAAATAAACTTTTTCGCTGTCGGGGGCGCCTGTCCCAAGGCGGCTGGAAAGTTTATACCCTTACGGTGGCACCGTAGGGGCATAAACTTCCCAGCCGCCCAGGGACAAGCGACCCCGACAGCGAAAAAGTTTATTTTATACCGTTCTTCGCTCGCTGACTGGCGGCACTTGTGCTGAAAGAGCAGCGCAAGGCGAGGGTGCCGCTGTAGGTATGGATGCGAGTCGTCGGACCCCGCAGGGGGCTCCCGTTCGAGCGGGGACCCCCCTTCGACAACACACACACACACACACCCACAGCTCCCCCCTATGTAATTTCACACCGAGACACCTGAAGGTCGCCAAGGCATGGGTGCCCGTGGCCAACTCACGAACCTCAGCGAAACATCAAGGTGGCCACACTCCGCAGATGAATGCTCTGCTCAAAACTGCCGCCTAAGGGGAAGGGAGGGGGGATGGATGAGGTCTAATGATCTGGATACGGCAAGTTCGTGCAGCGTCGGCGCGCGCAAAAGTTTTCGGCCCCGCGCTGATCGTTCGACCTTGAATCGAGGATCGCGGCCCTGACTGTTCAAGGTTGAATTCTGTCGGGTCCAGTGACGTTGCCATGCCCCTCGGTGCTTCTACGTCCTTTCATGATGCAGAAATCAGACTTGAACGCCTTCGCCGGCGCCGCGGGCGCGCCAACGTCGCGCGAACCTACCGTCAGGGAAGGAGGGGCGAGGAAGCGGTCTCCAGACCGACCGCTCCTGCCCCTTGCCTGCCCCCCTCCCTGCGCCCGTCGCCGCCCCGACAGGGCCGCACACTCTTCTGCCAAGGCCCGCGATGGCGGCGGCACGGGAGGAGGCACTGCTGGGATGAGGTGGAGGAATTATAAAGCAAAATCAGGACGAGGATAAATTCGTGTGAGGACAATCGGGAATCTCCGAGATCCGGCTGCTCTGGAGGATGTCTCGGGCGCCGCGGCCTTCCCAGAGCGTTCCGGAAAGCTCTGGGAGTGTTCTGGAACGCGCCGGAATGGATTTATCCTCGTCCTAGCCCCGTCCGAAATTCCCCATCGCACCACCATCGGGGACCTACTGAGCCGGGTCAGTCCAGTCCCAAGTCAGTCGGCCCTGCAGCAGGATTCTGCACGATCCTGCACGCAAGCCCCAGTCAATGCACCCCTCGCACTGCAAGATTCTGCAAGATCCCGCGCTCTGTCTGACCCTCGTTTGCATCGACCCCCGTCTCGTGTGCCCCGACACCATGCGTGTCGCTAGGGTGGTCTGGGCGTTTCGCCTGAGAGGTCCTCACCGTTCACGGCAGTTAAGCTTGTGAAATTTCCAGCAGTTCTGCGGATGGAGGGCGGGCCGGTTTCAAAATTGTGCTCCCGCCTGGGCGCGGCGCGCATTCGTGTTTACTGTTTCTGTGGGAATCCAGCAGTTCTATGGATGGAGGGCGAATCGTTTTCAATATAAGCATCTCCATGGTGCCGCGCGCACTTGTCTTGAACGTATCCAAAATCTACACGGGCGGACGGCGATTCCTTTTCAAAACGGGGCTCTCGCCTGAACCTTGCAGAACAAGCAGCACCGCAGTCATGAAGTTGTGCAACTGTTGCACTGATGGAGCGCGGCTTTCTTTCGACATGGGGCTCTCGCTTGAATCTTCGTGTGCTTCTTTTTCTGGCCAGCAATGTTCATGACATGCAACCGTTGCACGGATGTGGATCGTTCTGTATTTTTGGTTCTTGTTGAAACAACAAATCGGGGCTGCAGCTGGGCACTTCCTGGAACTCTATATGCCCAAATCGTGGCGTTCCCCAGTGGTCGAAAGATGGAACGGAGCTCCCGCCTGCATTGCGGACCCACGATGCGCTTCGCCCAATGAAACAGAGTGCTTGTACAGGATTAGTTCGCCGGCCCAGCGGGCCAAACGCGTGCCAAAATCTCCAGTAAAAAAGTCAGGATATTTCTCATTCGCGCGCGCGAGGCGGCCGCTGGGAAGAGATCGCTTCTACGAAGTCCCACGAGGAACGCGATCGACACGTGCTGCGGGATCATGTGCGACTGACAGCGGCCAACGATTTCACGGCCCCGCGGCCACCAGCGCCGTGCGGGCTGTGCATGTCGAGGTCTTCACAGGCTTTGTGGATCGCGATGCTCGCGGCTACAGGGGGCTTCGCGTTCCTAGCATTTTGCTGAAATATTCTCACCTGCCTTCTATGGGCTAATTTCCGACACGTCTGCAGCAAAGGGAGCCTCCCTTCTCCTCGTTGTCGTCGCCGTTGTTGCCTCTTCTCTCCTCTGCATGGAATCCTTGCTGGCCAGACGTGCGCATACAGCCGTGTCTTTTGAAGCGTGCCTTCCTGCATCACATTTTCTCACTTCGGTTTCTATTGCAATCATCGTCGAAGCCTGTTCTCCACTTCAATCTTTTTTGGGAGCAAGCCCTGCTGCCTTCGTAGTGTCGACTTTTGTCCGCTATGAAGCTCGACTGTTGCCCGCCTTTATTGTACACGCAGCTGTCACCCATGGCGTTGCCTAGAACGGCACGTGGGCCGCGAACGGCTGTATCCCTCATAACGCCCGCCACGTGGGGTAGGCATTCTTGTGGTCGTGCAAGCGCCGCTCGCCGTGGAAGTGGGGCTTGGAATTCTGGGCAGGTTACTGGCAATGCTTATTTAAGTTGAGGCGGAGGTAGACACTCCTTCCATCTTCCCTTGCTGGCACAATTCCTCGTGAGGGCGAGGCTGAATGGTACGGCTACCTCAATTTTTTTTTTTCATTCCCAAGCTCTGGCCTTCCCTGCCCCCACAGGCGAGGCGGGGACACGACGGAGGCGGTGCGGCACGGGAGTCCAGGTGGGCTGCGCACTCTGATACAGAATTGTTCCATTTCCGACCATTCCACACGCGCCTCTGGCCCATGCCGGACAAGGCGGCATTGGGAGGTTGCCCACAGCCTGCAGCTGACGCTCGGCTTCGGCAACTTTTTTTGATCCGCGGGTCGAGAGCGCACCTCCTCCGGTCGAATCTAAGCGGGCCGCGCACAGCTTTAATTGACAGAGGGGGGAAAGCAGACCGGCTTCGGCAACAACCGTACGCTCAAAGAACTACCTTTTCAAGGTCCCGGCCGGGTCGGGGGTCGGGGTAAGGAATGCAGAAACTCCTGGGCGCGCCCTCAGTGCTCCCAGAGCGCCCCAGGAGCGCTCCCAGGAGGCGCCAAGTACGGGGCAGGCCCCAAAGCTTCAGGTCAAGAGCGCGCCAAGATGGCCAAACATCATGTCAAGACGGTCCCAGAGACGCCCAAGACGGCCCCGTAGAGCTCCACGAGGACCCCAAGAGGCAACATTCATTGGTTTTGCGTGGGCTGCTGACAGATTTTCGCGTCATTGCCTTTTGGGGCTTCTGGCCGCCCAGGACAGCTAAGAAGGCCGCCAAGATCGCCCAAGTCCGCCCAGAACGCTCCTAAGACGTCCCAAGAGACCCCTAAGATGCGTGCCCGCGCCCATGCCGTCCCTCCATATTCGTTTCATGGCCCCATAGGGAGCTCTACCGAAGGCCCTGGTGGCAGCGGTCGCATGGTGTACTGGGTCCATTTCGGCACACCTCTCAGACGTTTCATGGTCCCCTAGGGAAGTGTACCGAAGGCCCCAACGGCAGAGCCCGCATCTGTGCCCAGGGTAATTTCGGCACAACCCTCATACGTTTCGTGGCCCTCTAGGGAGCCCAACAACAAATTCCAACGGCTGGGCCCGCGCAGCGTCCCTCCGCCCATATCTACACACGCCTCACACGTTTCGAGTCCCCATGGGGGGGCTCCACCGAAGGCCCCAATGGCAACGCTCGCATGGCGTCTCGGATCAATTTCGGCACACCCCTCGCACGTTTCGTGGTCCCATAGGGAGACACCCCCCCTCGTCCCACCTGGCCTGCGATACTCAGTCCTGCATATGGTTGGGTCCTTCACCAAGGTCGTTTCTGTTCTCCATTAACCTTCCTGTGGTGTTTGATCCTCGTTTTGAATCAGTAGCGCCCTCCCGTCATTCACTCCTCCTTCCACCTTCCCCTCGTCCTCATCCTTGGCCCGCTATCCGTATGGGTTGATTTCGGCACACCACTCGTACGTGTCGTGGCCTCACAAGAAGCTCCACTGAAGACTGAAATCCCATACGGAAAAGCTCGCATCCCCCCCGCGCATATTGGCACACTCCCCGCACGCCCACAGGTAGCTCCACGGAAAGCCAAACCGGCAGAGCTCTTATGGCGTTTCCACGCACATTTCGGCGCACCACTTGCGGGTTTCGTGGCCCCATGGGGAGCTTCACCGAATGCCCAAATGTTAAAGCCCCACCAGTGCTTTTGGGGCGTAGGTGGTTTAGCGCCTTTCCTCTTCTAATCCCCTACTTCCCCTTCAGGGAGGGGTTCCCCCCTCCTCCTCTCCCCCCCTGGGCCTGGACAGAGCGCCCGGCGAGCGGTTCGAGCGTCCAAGATTACCCAACATGGTCCCGAGAATACCTAGAATAACCTCCAATATGGCCCACGCTACCGCAAGATGGTTTCCAACAAGCTTCAAGAGGCTCCGAAAGTGCCCCCAAGACGGGTCGGCGGCGGCGGCGGGCGGCGCGGTGGCGGAGGCGGACAGCGGCGGCGGCGGCGGCGGCGGCGCGGCAGCGGCGGCGGCGGGCGGCGGCGGCGGCGGATGCGGCCCCAGTAGCTGCCCATCCAACGACGACTGCTGCATATGCTGCGGCTCGGGCCAAGCTCGGGTGCTACGTATGTGTTGGGAGGGCGGGTGGGAGTGAGCGAGACGGCTTGCGGGCGGGGATGGAGACTCTTGACCCCCCCACCCCCTCCACTGGACCTGGACGGGGGGTTCCGCGGGTAGTTGGAGCGTCCAAGATGGTACAAGACGGCTGCAAGAGGGCCTCGGAGAGCCCCAAACGACCTCCAAGATGGTTCGAGATAGCCCACGATGCCTCAAGATAGCTTCCAAGATGCTCCAAAAGGCCCCAAGAACGCTCCGAGACAGCTCCGAGTGGCCAAAGAGCTCCCCAAGGAGGCCCGAAAGAGGCCCAAATCCTTCCAAAAACCTATGTGAAATCAATGCTTTTTGCTTTCTCGCCTTTTCGCTTCCGATGGCCATCCGAGGCTCCAAGATGGCCCAAATGGGCCCCAAGAGAGGCTCAAGAAAGCCCCAAGACGGCCCAAGAACGCCCAAGAACGCTCCAAGAGCGCCCCAAGAGCACCCCTAAGAGGCGATTTTTGGGGCTCCCGATGGGTAGTACTTGATCGATTTCCTCCAAGATGGCCCCAGGAGCGCCCCTCAAGCCCCCACGAGCGCCCCAAGAGGGCCCAGCGGCTCCAAGAGGCGCCCACGAGGCCTCCAAGAGTCTCCCAAAAGACCCCCAAGAAACCTCAAGATGATCCCCGAGGCACCCACAACGCTTCAAGAGGCCCCCTGGGCGCCTCGCCTGGGCATCGTTTCTGGATGGGCTGGTGGGGTTACTTTTTTTCGGTCGCGGCCGCGAGACGAAGGTCAGGCGGCGAAAGCAAAGTCCGGGACGCGAACTAGGCGAATTGGCTAGGACAGGCGCAGGCCGGCCGGCCCACTCAGACTGCAGCTGCTGGCTGGGTGAAGCTGAACTGATTGGCGCACTGCAAGCTCGGGCACGTGCGCTGGACAAAATGACCAGAATTCAAGCGGCCAAAGCAAAACCCGCACAGAGGACGCGGACCACGGTGGGCAAGCCTTTGTGCATGGTGAAGACGGGCTGGCCATTGGAGAGACAACAGGTGGGGTTACTTTTTTTCGGCGGCCGCGCGACGACGGTCTGGCGGCAACATGCGATGTCCGGGACGGCGGTACAAAGCTAATTGCACACAAGCGTGCGGTGCACAGTGGTGGGGTTACTTGTTTGATCTACGGCCCAAAGGACGGTTCCAGAGGGCGGGTCAATCAAGTCGTCTGGGGCACTGGTGGGGTTACTTTTTTGATCTGCGGCTCCAAGGACGATTCCAGAGAGCGGGTCGGATCTAGCATGAGTCAGCACGCAAGATAATTGCCAGCGGGCCAAAAGCCGATGGTGGGGTTACGCGGAGCGTCTAGAATTCCCCTGGCGTTTCCAGACCCATTTCGGCACACCCGGCACACCCCTCACGAGCTTTGTGGGTCCACCGGAAGCTCCACCGAAGGCCGTAATTAGTGGCAAGTATGGCGTCGCCTCGACTTTGTTCGTCTTCGTCTTGCTCAACTTCGTCCTCGTCAATTTGCTTCCCATCCTTTTTGGCAGCTGCCACGCGACACTCACAGCTGCACGTGGTTGGGCCTTCTGCCATGATCTATGAATTTTGTTTCTGCGCTCGAGCTCCGCTCTGTAGGGGGGGTCCCCGTGCTCCGCCCAGGGCTGCGTTTTCCTGGGCTCGAAAATCGGCCCAGCCCCGGCCCCAGCCCCGGCACAAGTCCCGGCCCCGGCCCCAACCCTGGCCCCGCGGGCCCTGGCCCCGCGGGCCCCGGCCCCGCCCTGCCCCGGCCCAGGCCCCAGCCGCAGCCCCAGCCGCGGCCCCAGCCTCGGCCTCGGCTTCGGCCTGGGCCTCGGCCCCAGCCCCGGCTCTGGCCCCGGCCCAGCCCAGGCCCCTGGCCCCGCCGGTCCCGGCCGCGGCCCCAACCGCGGCCACAACTCCAGCCCCAGCCCGAGCCCGGACTGGCCTCAGCCCTGGCCCGGTCCGGCCCTGGCTCCGTCCCTGGTCATGGCCCTGGCCCTGGCGGCGCTCCAGGCCCTGGCCGCGGCCCTGGCCCTGGCTCCTGGCCTGGCCTTGGCCCCAGCCCTGGCCCCAGGCCGCTTTGTTCGTCGTTCCACATCGTCATCGTCGTCATCGGTCGTCACTGGCCGTCGGTCGTCGGTCATCGCCCGCAAGGAATCGTCCATGGTCGCCGTCAGTCGTCCTCGTCGTCGTTGTGGTCGGTCCTCGTCAATGGTCGTCGATATTCTGTCGACATTCGTCGTTCGTCGTCGTCGTCGTCGTCGTCGTCTTCGTCGCCGAAGTCTTCGACAATGTCGGAGACGCCTCGGATCGGACTTTTTTTTGTTTGCGTGCTCGCGTAAGCAAAAACAACTGCACCTTGCAATGTGTCCTCAAACTCTGGCTCGTCCAAATACTCCTTTATCACACGTGCCATGCCTAAGGTACGATATCTGGATGGGCCGATGGTTAAAGGCAACAGACGCGCTACTTCTTGCGAAAAGAAATTTCCGCCATAAAAAACAGCTGAAGGAGATTGCCCTCCTCCGCGGATCGACCAGTAGCCTGAGCGATGTAGTGGTCTGCGTCTGCCTGGGATAAAGCGCCCTCGGAAACGAGCTTAGCCAGAAACTGTCTCTCGTGCGTCAACTCGGGTCCCATCATGTCGCCCGGCTTCTTAAGGAAGAACGAGAAAGGCTCGATACAGACATCCTGCGCGTCGGCATGGCTTAAGATGTACCGATATGCCTCTGACGCTGCCCGAGGATTTGCGCACATCTTTGCGACATGATCCCGGAGCGCCTCGCTGACCCTCAGCAAGCGATCATCGTTACTCAACATCACGCTAGCTTTCTCCATTTCCCCTTCGCTAATGACACACGTGCCCCTGGGCTTCAACACACGAATCATCTCGTCGATGGCCTTTTTCAGATCTGGTACATGAACCAAAAGCCTCGACGTTTGGACCGAGTCGAAGTGCACATCTGGATAAGGCAACGCCACCACGTCTCCCTGAACAAAACTCGCGGCCGGGAGCTTCTCTCGCGCAACTTGAAGCGTCGCCTCCATCAAATCTACGCCGTGCAGCTGGGCTGGCTTGTCGCCCAAAGCTCTGGCCAGGAGGCCAAGATCGGTGCCAGTTGAACAGGCTACGTCGATGCAGCTGGGGTTGTCAATACCCTGCACACTGCTGGCGATGCGTGCCGCGATGCGTTCGCGCAGCGGCATGGAGGGGTCTCTGAAGGTCATGCGGTGGTCGATGCTGAGGCCCGACTTGCTATCGGAGACCTGCGCCGAGCCTGCAGCAGCGGCATTACGATAGGCGGCAGTGAAGCCGCCCTCGGTCTGCTGGACTTTTTTGGGCGGCTCAGTCATGCGCGGCCCGGCGAGGGGGGCTGCGGATCTGGCGCCTCTTGCGGCTTGATTCTTGAGCCAATGTGGATTCGGGGGGCTCGCTTGAGCTGTACTGGGTCCCCCCAAGGGCCCTCTCGGGGCCCTCTTGGGGGGTCTTGTGCCCCCGTTGGGCGCTTCTTGGAGCCCTCTTGGGGCGATCTGGGGGAGATCTTGAGCCATCATGCGCGCTCTAAAGACCGAAAAGGCAAGGCTTCTGAATTCATTCAGAAACGATACGCTACATTCTCCGTCTTGTGAGCCTCTCAGGTGTCCTCTTCGGGCCCCCGATGGCCAGTCTCGAGAAACCCTTGCGTCTGTTTTGAATTGTCTTGGAGGCGTTCAAGCTGTCCTGGGAAGTATCTGGGGGCCGACTTGGCCTCCGCAGACTATTTTCGAAGCCTCCTGGGCTGTCCTAGGAGCGTTCTGGGTTGTTCCGGCGCACCCTTTGGGCTCTCTTGGGCCGTCTGGTGCGCCCAGGAGGGGAGCCACAGGCCACTCGGCAAACTGAGGAGCCCCACGGTCCAGGACCTACTCCCACATACACACACACATACGTACATACATACATACATACATACATACATACATACATACATACATATATGTATGTATGTCTGTATGTATGTATGTATGTATGTATGTATGTATGTATGCATGCATGCATGCATGCATGCATGCATGCATGCATGCATGCATGTATGTATGTATGTATGCATGCATGTATGTATATATGTATGTATGTATGTGTATATATACACATATGTATATAGATGTATAGGTACAGGCCTCGGAACAAATTAGCGAACACATGCCACACTCATCCGTCAACGCCCCCCCCCAATGTTCAAAGTTGGCGGTGGGTCTGATGAGATGCACTTCGACCGCAGTCTCCCCCGCGCGTGCCAACGTTGAGTTTGGGGGGGAGGGGGAGTGTTCAGCAATTGTTTCCCTCTACCGTTTGCATGTTTTCAACTGTACGAATACAGTCGGGGCGCTGACCCAAGGAACCCTGAATAAGAAACGAGGCCCATTTTTCCACATTGTAAACTTCGATTTCCGATCGAAAACATAAGGAAAACCTGAGGCAAACTGTGAAACACTTAAGGAACGCGGAGCCCCTCCCCAACCAACAGGGTTCCTTCCTCAGGGCCCCGACTGTACACTGAATGCCTAGACGCATAGAAAGCTGACCCGGGACAACTTCGTGAGGGGCTGGGGAGGCCGAGGCGCGAGCGGCCCAGGAGGGCCCCAAGACGGCCCCAAGAGGGCCCCAAGACGGCCCCAGAGGCTCCGAAGGCCTTACGGGGGGGCCCGCCGAGCGCCCCAGGACGGTCAAGAAGGGCCCAAGAGGGCCACTCGACGGCTCAACGGGCTCCCCCAGCTGGCTTGGCTCAAGGGGGCCCGAAAACGACTCCCAAGAGGCTCCTGGGAGGCAACAGTTATGGGTTTTCCCTCGTGCCATTTTTGCATGCTCGGCTTCTCGGTCCCCAGAGCGCTCGAGACGGCCGAAAAGGTCCCCGAGATCGCTTCAAGATGGCCCAATATGCGCCCAAGAGGGCCCCAAGACGAGCCCAGGACGGCCCAAGAGGGGCCCAAGAAGGCCCCAAGACGCTCCAAGAGGCCCCCTGGAGAGGCTCGAGACGGTCCAAGAGGGCTCCAAGACAGCTCAACTGGGCCCCCAGACTGTAAGATGCCCCCAAGATTGCCCTGAGGGACCAAGACGGCCTCAGGGGGTCCCAAGACAGCCCAGGAGGCCCCCAAGACGGCTTGAAAACAGCCTCAAGAGACCTTGGAGAGGGCCCACTCGGGACCCTGCAGTAGTACGGCGAGGGTAAGACAATCAATCAATACACACAATAATGTTTGTAATGTGTATATAAGTTTATACATGTGTGTGCATGTGCACTTACACACATATATATATACATCGATATATCAATGTATGTATGTGTGTCTGCCTGCCTGCCTGTCTGCCTGTCTGTCTGTCTGTGTATGTGTGTATGCATGCATGATCGTATATATATATATGTATGCATGCAGACATATGTATATATATATATACGCATGAATATCTGTATGTATGTATGTATGTATGTAAACAGGTATGTATGAATGTATGTATGCACATATGTATGTAGGTGTGCATGCTTGTATTAATGTATGTATGTATGTATACATGTCTGCTTCTGTGTACGTATGCACGCACGTACGTATCTACGCATGTATGTGCATATGCCTGCCTGTCTGTCTGTCTGTCTGTCTGTATGATTATATATAAACAGTATGAGTATATACAACCGCGCACACATACATATACACACATACATACATACATACATACATACATACATACATTACATACATTACATACATTACATTACATACATGCATACATGCATGCATGCAGGCATACATACATACATACATACATACATATATATAACATATATATATATATATATATATATATATATATACATGTTTAGATGTGTCCGCCACCAGGTCTTGCGCACAGTGAGCGTGTAATAATACTTCCTGTTGTCTTGGAGGCTTTTCCAATTTTCTAGAGGCGCTCCCCCCTCCGCATCACGCGCACCCGCCGAAAATCGCTCCCCCCCCGAATTGGCTCTCCGGCGCTCTTTTCGGCCTCCAGACGGGCAACATGGCATCCACGACGGCTTTCAAGGCAGTCAAGATGACACTGAGACGGCCCAAGATGGTCCAAGACGGCTCAAGAGGCTCCCAAGACGGCCTCAAGACAGCTCAAGAGGCTCGCAAGACGGCCCAAGAGGGCTCAGAGAGGCCCTCCAGGAGAGCCCGAGGAAGCAAAAACAATTGATTATCCTGTGATGTTTGAAACATTTAGATGTTCTCGCCTGCTCGGGCTTCCAACCGCCCGAGACGGCCCAGCAGGCCTCCAAGATAGCTCCAAGACAGCCAATGAGGCCCCCAAGGGGGCCTCGAGTCGGCCCAAGAGGACCCCAAGACTGCCCAAGAGCCTCCCAAGAGCCTCTCAAGAGGGCACCAAGACGGCCTAGAGAAGCCCCCAAGACGGCCTCCGGAGGCGTCAGACAGGCCAAGAGGCCTCCAAGACGGCCCAAGAGGCCTCTAGAAGCCCCCAAGATGCCCCAGAAGGCCCCCAAGAGGCCGCAAAAGGCACTCGGGAGGCTCCCAGGAGGCCCAAATCAGAGGGCCACAAACGGCTTCCTCCTCCTCGTCGTCCTCCTCCTCCTTCTCCTCCTCCTGCGAACGCGAGGTCGAGATCACGATCCACCACAGTTCAAAGTACTTACTGAACTGCCGCGGAGCTTGAAAACGACCGCCCCCCCTACCGCGTGGACCAGGTCGAAGTCGAGTTCACGACCCTCCTCAGTCCAGACAAACCACTGAACTGCAGCGGGGCGTGAACTCGACTTCTTTCATGCCGCGCGGGCGAAGACGAAGTCGACTTCACGACCCGTTCCAATTCAGACCACTCGCTGAAGTGCAACGGGGCGTGAAAACGACCTCCTTCCTACCGCGTCGACGAGGTTGAGTTCACGACCCGTCTAAATTCTGACAGGTCGCTGCAATGCAGCGGGGCGTGAACTCGACTTCCTTCCTACCGCGCGGTCGAAGACGAGGCTGAATTCACGACCCGTCTCAGTTCACATCACTCGTCGTTGGGCTGTTCCTGCACTCAACCTCCTTCCTGCTGCGCTGTTGCACATGCGCGGTGGCGGGTTTGCCGCAGACAGCTGGCCATACACATATATACATATGAATTTATGTATATATATATATAATCTATATGTACATACACATCTGTACACACACATCTACATGCTTACACCTGTGCAAGAACCCTCGCGCGCGCTCCAGTTCTAATCGTGGGAGCTTCGCCCGTGGCGTCGGCCTCCAGAGGCCGAGGCAGCTGTCTGATTATGGTCAAGCTCAGGCTTCGAGCCTCGAAGGAGATGCTCAAGCCTCCTCTTCAGACCTCACACGTCATAGCTTTTGATGAGTGCACCTGGCCCTCGCGGTCATTGAGCATGGGGAAGAGGAGGTCGGCCGCTCAGCTCTGCTGGGTTGGGGTTGGAGGGGTGGTGGGGTCGGTGGGTGGGTGAAAGGGTGAACGGATGGGCGGAGGTAGGGGGGATGAAGGACGAAGGGAAAAGGTAGAAAGCTGCAGGAGGGAGGAGGGAAGAGGGTGGATTCAGGAGGGAGGACGAAGTAGGGACGAAGGAAAAGGGAGTGGGGGGAGGGAAGACGTGAAAGCGATGAGGGAGGAGGAGGAGGAGGAGGAGGAGCATGAGGAGGATGAGGAGGGAGGAGGGAGGACGAGGAGGAAGAGGGACGAGGGAAGAGAACGAGTCGTCGTCGTCGTCGTCGTCGTCGTCGCCGTCGTCGTCGACACTCGGCAGCTGGCCATATTCCTCGTTGCTGTCGCTGCCGCCGCTCTCTCTCTCTCTATCTCTCGCTCTCTCACATTCTCGGGACACGAGGAGGACGACGACGATGGGTATGACGATACCGAGGTTGAGGGCCGAATCGGATGACGGAAGGGGAAGCAGAAAAAGACGAGTGCAAGCGGGAAGCAGCAAGATGACGGGTCGGAAGACTGGCTGCCTTCCTCACTCCTTTCGCCGTTTCTCCTTCTCCTCCTCCTTCTCCTCCTCCTCCTACCCCTCCTCCCACCTCCACCTCTCACCCCTCGTCCCCCGCATCCTCCGTACTCCTCCTTCCCATCATTATCCTCGACATCCTCCTCATTCTTCTCTTCATCCTTCTCCTCCTTCTCCGCCTTCTCCACCCACTTCCCATCGCCTTCTGTCATCCTGCTCCTCCCTCGCCCCCTTCCTTGTCCGGAGAAGAAACGTAAACCAGCAAGGCGTCAGGAATTGCAATGCCACTTGGCATTTTCTTGAATGTCTCGGAACGATCTTCTTGGAGCCCCTGTAGGCTCTCCCGGGGCTTCTTGGGGGTCCCTTAGGGTCCAGTCGGGGCCTGTTGGCGGTCTTGACATCTATATAATCCCCAGCACGCTCTGGCAAACTCTTCGCGCCCCCACTCGTGGGCACATGGGCCGCATTGGGGGCCTCCTGGGCTGACTCGGGACTCTCTTCGGCAATCTTGGGGATCTCTTAG